TCATAACTCTAGAAGTTGGTGGGGAAGCATTGGCTTCTCAGAAGCTGCTGTGTTGCAAGAATGATGGAAAGCACCACGGGGAACATACCAAATGCCCCAAGGTTAGCTTGAAGTGTGCGAGCGGCGCAGTTCGCCGCCACGGTGCGCAAAGGCCTGCGTGCAAGACCGCGGGTGTCACAGTCTAGTTTAGGGTTCAGTGGCTATAGGGTTTAGGGGATGGGGTTCGCCTTGCATTGGCCCAGAAGCAGCCATTGGCTTCGCTCGGCACAACGTTGGGAGGACACTCCCCTGATTCTGGAAAGCCTGCGGCCAGCTGCCAGGATTGCAGACTTTGCAAGCGGAAGCTAGTTCCACTACAAACACATACTTCACGTTCTATTCCCTTGTAATGTCTGTCACTGCCATCATGACCTACAGTACACGGCAGAGAGAAGGGCTGCAGCCCCAGGAGATGTACAGTACACGCAGTTTGCTCGATTGGATGGATTGAATGGGTTCACCACCTGCCACATACATTGAAACAACAACGCAGGACGAAGGACAAGTGAATCGGTGCGCTTCGGCAACTTGACACGCTCACACTAACTCGGCCAGCCCATTAGCTGGTGAGCTTCTTAGTTGCTGGGCTGCGTTCGGTTCTCGACGAGATGGGGACTTGTCATGTGAGGTTTGGGGCTTTGCGACTTAGCGTTCCAATTGTTTCAGGCCAAACGGGTCAAGTCACTGTACTGGCTGCCCACGTCCGCATTGAGGTCGCACCTTAGCGAATCACATGTTTTGAAGGCGTCTTTAATGGCAGTCGCACTGTGCCCGATTTACTGAAGCCAAGGGATCTGCTCCGCACGGCCCTCAAAGAAACGAGGGCGCAATGTGCACGCGACCGGAAACTAGACTGTATGTTCGCACAACCTACACAAGGCACTGCAAGGTTCACAGCATGAGACTCATCACAAGTCCACGCTGAGACTGTGACTGCCCAATTGCTTTCTTGCCAGACTGCGCGCAGAGAGGTTTTGCGGGATTCTTCTACAGGAGCTTCGACAAAACGACCCTCTCAATAGGATTTTCAGTGAAACCGGTTCTTGAATCTGCGTCCCCTGGAGTCAGCTGTCCACATTGTGTACTCTCATGACCCAGCCAGTTTTGTGGAATCAAAAAAGCAACGAATACGTACTTTTACACCTGCGCCGCAACCAAGGTCTGAATCTCTACAGTGCAAGCAGAGGTAGAACTGGCATACAATTCTGCCAGAAGCTTGCCCGCAGACAGGTAGTAGCTCAGGGCTAGCAGGAAAATCTTCGTGCCATAAACAGGTGTAGGTGTAAATGTTGCAATCCGGGTGATAGTATCCCTATCAACGCGTCAGTTCCAGTGGCCAAACCTTCACCGACAAGAAGCCACCCACCACATCACGTACGCGTGAGGACCCCTGAGAGTCCCAGGGGGTGGATGCGCGATTTCGCAGACAACGTACGGGTTTCCCCTTAAGTCATGTATACGAAACTATCCTCACCCTCACAGATATGCACGCAATTTTCCAACGGGTTGCCCCTTAAGTGGTCCAATCAGCGAACAGTTCGTGCAGACGCTGGGAAACTCTACAAAGGGAAAAAAGAACTATTTAGTAGCTACAAGAGAGCTCTGTTGAGCCGAGCGCACTGCGGCGGCTCGTACATAGAGAGCTTGGCAACTGCACACGCAAGCCATGCACTCCTCGGGTTTTACCTTGTCCTTCCCAAACTATTTGTCATGGCATCACCACTATCCATCTACTCAGTATCCAGCGTCCGCATCCTCGACGACGATGTCCAGGTATTGGATATCCGTTCATCATTCATCATCATCAATCATCACATCAGTTCCAGGCATTCCCTTGGCAAACCCGGAACATATCCCACAGTAACTCTGCAGCATACCCCCGGCTACTTCTACCTGATGCGCCCATACAATAGTCGCCCCTTTGAGTGTGTTGCATGTGGCTACATGAGTGGCTGCAAACTGCCCTGGGGGTCAACCTTCCAGACGTGCAGATCTGGACATGTCATGCTGGGCGTTGGCATTAGCACATTTGGCTGAGACACCCACTCTGGATGCGTGAATACGAGAAGGTTCCTAGCACGGCAACCCATTGAGGCAATGCTTTGCACTTCCAGGAATATGGCGAAATAACTGTTGCACCCGATGTTCCGAACTACCAGGCCCAAAGCCCCGAACCTAACTCCGGACCGTGGCAAAAACCCAGAAACACATAACGCAATCGTTACAATCATTATGACTCATGATTGGTACAGCGAAAGATTTAGCGCTGTGGCGTAGGGACAGCACCCTCAGCACCTGCAAGCAGCAGGACCCTTTTAGAATGACCAAGTCTTAGTCTTAACACCATCCGTTCTGACTCAGAAGCTGAAGCCTCAAGCCCGATAACTGCAGGCCCCGCCTGGATTTGCGAGCCCCTGCGGCCCACACGCTTCAACTGAGATCCTCCAACAGTGCGGGGAAGAGGGAGCTTCTCGAAGTTAACAGGAACTTCGGGCATGCGCAAAGTCTTGAAGGATGAAGGCAGGGGAAGTAAGGATTGTTTGTGAGCTTCGGGCAATTCAATCGTTGAGCTTTTGCCAGGCTTGTAAGGCACCTGGACATCCCAAATGAAAGCTGAGAGCGGCCCACCCAACACAGATCATGGGTTCGAAAACACCGGTGCCGGGCTAAGCACCAGCCTCGGGCCAGCCTGGTTACCCATCAGGGCTGGAACCAGCAACCGATAAGCCGCGGCCCAGCTCTGTCCTCCGACACTGCCCGACACCTGACAGTGCCTGCTGTGTCCGATTCACCCCGGCAAGCGGAGGTTTTCTCCCTCGCACCGAAAAAACAAAGCTCCAGGAGGCTCTTGGAAACGAAACAGATGTGAGAGGTCAGGAGATGCTCGGGCCCTGTCTGCTCCATGATTTGCTGCGGAAGCTATATTGTCTCAGACCAGAGGGGCAACTTTATAGCCACCAGATCTATGCGTTTCCGCATGACAGCGCGCACATAATGGGCATTTGTCACTTCTGGCGGGCCTTGAAAAGAAGAAGCGCAACGAAGAAAGCCAGGCTTCACACCCTAACACTTACGTGATGATAGCCTCTAATTGCCCTCACCTTGACAGGACTGAGTCTACGAAAACGTCACAAACAAAAATCATTCATGTCAAAAGATATGGGTCCCATGGCTGGGTGGGGCGGGCAGAGGGGTTAGGTGGCAGAAGGATCAGTACCTTAACACCAAGACACCAAGAGAACTGGAAACTACGAAGATCTTGGCTCCAGCTTCATAAACTGTTAATCTGAAGCCCAGCCTGCACCCATGCAAACGTTGGCGGTGCCGTTGAAGTTACACAAGGCATACCTCGGGCCGCAACTTTTCTCGGTATCAGCCTCCAGCTGACGCAAACATGCCCACTGTGGAGTCTTCACAGCTCACACCCGAGCGCGCCACTGGCCAAAAGCTTTGCTAACCTGACAGCTCACTTCAAAGACGAGCTTCTCCAAGTCCCTACTGCGCTGTGCGGTGCCTTATAGGGGTCCTTATTCTAAGGGGATCCTACTATTTGGGGGTCTATATTAGGGGTCCCTTAAATCGTAAACCCCCCCATATCCAGCAGATTCTGTTAGCAAGGCGCCTCCACTTGCCAGTGCGTGATGAACTTCGACTCGTACTCTGCGCCGGATCCTTGCGTGCCTAGGCTGCGGAAGCTGCAAAGCCAAGGGATCTACATCCAAGATCCAAGCATTCGACACAAAGCAATAGTGCATCTTATGATTACTACACTTCTGACTACTGACTACTGACGACTGACTACTTGCTACTTACTACAGTACATGCTACAAGCTACTTACTACTTGCTACTTGCTACTTGCTACTGGCTACTTGCTACTGGCTATGCTACTGGCTACTTGCTACTGCTACTACGACTACTACGACTACTACGACTACTACGACGACTACTACTACTACTACTACTACTACTACTACTACTACTACTACTACTACTACTACTACTACTACTACTACGACGACTACGACTACGACTACGACTACGACTACTACTACTACTACGACAACTACTACGACGAATACGACTACTCCTACTACTACGACTACGACTACTACTACTACTACTCCTACTACTGCTACTACGACGACGACTACCACGACTACCACTACCACTACTACCACGACTACCACGACTACCACTACTACCACTACTACTACTCCTACTACTACTACTACTCCTACTACTACTACTACTACTACTACTGCTACTACTACTACTACTGCTACTGCTACTACTACTACTACTACTACGACTACTACTACTACTACTACTACTACTACTACTACTACTACTACTACTACTACTACTACTACTACTACTACTACTACTACTACTACTACTACTACTACTACTACTACTACTACTACTACTACTACTACTACTACTACTACTACTACTACTACTACTACTACTACTACTACTACTACTACTACTACTACTACTACTACTACACTACTACTACTACTACTACTACTACTACTACTACTACTACTACTACTACTACTACTACTACTACTACTACTACTACTACTACTACTACTACTACTACTACTACTACTACTACTACTACTACTACTACTACTACTACTACTACTACTACTACTACTACTACTACTACTACTACTACTACTACTACTACTACTACTACTACTACTACTACTACTACTACTACTACTACTACTACTACTACTACTACTACTACTACTACTACTACTACTACTACTACTACTACTACTACTACTACTACTACTACTACTACTACTACTACTACTACTACTACTACTACTACTACTACTACTACTACTACTACTACTACTACTACTACTACTACTACTCCTGCTGCTGCTGCTAACTAGTATGACTACTTTCCATTATTGCTCTTAATTCTACTATTGCGACAATTGCTATTATTTCAATAAATGCTAGGATTCCGACTACTTCCCTTACTTGGCGACTATTTCTTGTGAAGGACCAGGGCGCAGATGAAGGAGACATCACCGAGAACGTCACCGGTATCCCGATTGGAGAGTACTTGTGGTTCACCTTTTCCAAAGATTCTGTAGATATCCAGCGTCTCGACCTCCCAGACGAAATTCCGGTGCAGGGTTTATGGCAGTTTAGGGTTTAGAGTTTGTGTAGGGTCGCAAGAATACAAACTCCTGCCCCCGTGCTTCCGACTGCTTCCTGTACTTCTAGCGTGAGGAGTTCTACATGCTGCTATACGCTATTATACGCTGCTCGCTCTTGTTGTGTGGTGTCGGCATGGACATTGGACACGTCGTGGCATTTCAAAACGGGCCAAGGTGCTGCTAAATATAGAACTTGGCTCGGGCTTCGGGGGTAATTGAGCTACGGTCTGGATATGTCTGGATGGGCTTTCAATTGGCTGACCTCGTCCTGCGGACATGGCTTTGCCGGCCAGTTCCTCAGCTGTTACTGAAATCCGGGTAATGAGGCAACTAGCAAGCACAATAAACATTTGCTCAACTCTCTGGTCATCGAATTCTCCCCTTAACCTCACAGCCAGATTCTGCGCGCAAGGGTAGCTGGGCAAGAAAGCTGCCTCATCAGGCGGACCTTGGCAGCCGCGGAGTTAAATATTGGATGCTCATATCCTAGCAGTACTGGTGCCCAATTCTGATGCGAAACCCTACATACAGCCGGAGCCCAAGACTGGGCGAAGACCCGTCGTCTGTATGGATACTGGAACTGTTTTTGTGCAGATGGGTACACTGCTCACTCTGCTTGGCATTGTTGAAGGTTGCATGGGAACGTGCCCTGCTTCAAAGCCTGGTCCTTGGAATTGTTTTGTTTATCGCATCCGGTGCCAGTGCCGGTGCCATGACTGCTTCCATGACGGCATGCGAGGATCGCCGATGCCGGCGGTGGTCGCACTGTGAAGAAATTTGGCATTTCCTCGCGACGCGAAGGCCGGTTCCGGACACGACTGGCGCCCTTGAGCATCGCATTTTGCGTGGCCTTTTCGGTGGCACCGCTCGCATGTCGAGAGACTGTTGAATTGGACATGCTGCCGTAGAACTTTCTCTGCAACTTGGCGCTTGCCCCTCAGTCCCAAAAGCTCTCAATCCTCAAGCACATACAAAAGCAACAGCCCTCGAGATTCGTCCAGCTGCCGAAAGTAACATTGCTGAAGCGATACCTGGTTGCCTCGGCGGGACATGTCTTGGCCCTATCAGACAAATCACCACGGAAGCTCTGATTTTTAAAGAGGGGTACGTTGTGGTTCCGTGTTGCAACAATGACCGGCGATGCACTTGAGCACATGCGCCACGAGCGTGCTACGAACACAAGATGCAAAAAACAAAGCAGCATGCACACACGCACGATCACACACGCACACACGCCCGAACGCCGCAGCAGAAGCAGCAGCACCACCACTACACAGCCACAATGTAACAACCAACCTTTTCGCTGCTCGTCTGTCATGCACCCACGGGCATCAGACAATGAAACGAAAGCTGTGACTGCGTCTTAGAAGAAGCGAGAGATAAACACAAAGTGAATTCAACCAGTCGCAGGGGAAAGCTCAAAACCGGGAAGGGTGCTCCAATCAGGGGTAAATGATGCACTTGGACGGCGGCAGCTGCCACAATGTAACAACCAACCAGCCCAACGCGCAAGCACGCAAGTAAGCAACAAGCAAACACAAACAAGAAAACAAAGAAACGGCCAAACAAACAATGACAACCAAACCAGCAAACAAACAATTAGCAACATCAACGCCAACATCAGCAACAGCAACAATGAAAATAACAACATCAGCAACAGTAACCACAGCAAAACAAGGCAGCAAGCAGCACGAGTGCAGCAAGCAGCACGAGTGCAAGCGGTACAACAGCGCGATTGTTTTTAAAGTGCGCTGCATCGCCTGAAGACGCAAATGGGACGCGATGCTCGACCGACAGCGGATTAAATGGATGACAATGCTTCGCAGCCAGGGAGTGAATGACCCTTGAATGACTCCTGCCTGCCTCCACTACAGAAAATCCTGACTCATTGACTCATGAAAATTTCTGAAGACCTTCTCTGTGCAACCTTCGTCTGGCGGGTGCAGTCGTTGAGAATAGTTAGGGGATGAGGATTCGAAATAAGTGCGGCTTTGCAACCTGCCTACCTAGCTTGCTGCAGAGTTGCACCTTGGGTCGCTAGACGCTAGAGACAACAGGACCGATAAGGCCAGCCCGAGAGGACGCCGGAGCTTAAGATGGATACTTTGGGATGTTGTCCTTCATCGGGATTCCAATAGGGGGCACTATAATCGCGATTCTAATCTGGGGTACTATAATTACAGGAAGGACTGTTAGTATACGGGGGAACATCCCAATGGATGCTCTACAACTGTACAACTGGCCGAGACATGCCGAGGCTCCCCCGAAAACTTGCCGGTTCCCGCAACGTTCTGCAAGATCTCCTGGGTCGCTCAATGCAAGCCCACGATTTCTGGCTCTTGAAATTTGAACCGGGAGATCTTTGAATGTAGAATAAGCATCCCACCGAGCACAAGCCCCACTGCAGTAGACTCACCCTGGTGCCACCCGCCAACCGAAAAGTCTGCAAGCATCTAGCAAGCATGTATGTAGGGGCTCTGGGGACAAGAACATGCAAGATGCCTTTTAAAAAAGCAATGCCTAGTTGTAGCAAGCTCGTATAGTCATCGTTTTAGTCGTGCATGCAGTTACTCTTGCGTGATGCTGGCTACGGGCTCGCGCCAATACAAAACGAGCAACAAGGTTGCTACTACTAAATCACAGCTATGTCAGGTTATGCGCAACATCTTTGAGTCCTACATCAGTTGCTACAGCAGGATGAAACCGTACGCGGCCTACACATCTAGGCATCAAGCCAAAGGGAAAGCAAGTAGTCATAGCCGTTGTAATCGAAATGGCAAAAGCATCACGAGAACTAGTGTCGCAGCAGTAGCAGCAGCAACAAGAATAATGATCGAAACAGTTCTAACGAACAAGTAGCTATTTCAGCAGCAGCAGCAGTAGCCGTAGTAGCAGTTTTTTGGCAGTAGCAATAGCGCTTCTTGGAGGTATAACCCGCCTTGGAGCGCCTATGAAAAACAGACCCAGCAAACAAATCTAAAAAGCGTGATGATGAAGAGTAGCATGCGCACCCCTAGACAGTAATATTGCGAATGCTGATAGTGCGGATAAAGACCGCAGAAAATGCAGTAGCATCAAATATTCAAGTATGTGCAGCGGTGACGATCGTAAGAACAAGAATGTACTGTTTTTGCAACTGAAACAAACCTAAGCAGCACCTAGCAGGACCTAGCAGCGTGATTGGTATCGAACATTTAGAAAGTAGTAGTATCAACCGCGATATCAGTAGCGAGGCGCGGCAATCGTCTCAACAAAAGCCATGGCCTAGCCGAGGTACACGCAGTCGCGGGCGTAGCGGGCGGCGTCGCTACAACAGTAAGAGCATACAAAATATTCGGACGGTACAGATAATTGCGGCTGAGGTGTCAACAGCTTAATCTTGAATTCAGTCAAAGTATCATGGCCACAGTCAAGCAAAGCAATACCAACCGTTTTCGACTTGTTGTCGTGAGAGGCAATACGAACAGCACTGCAAAGTAAGAAGCAACCATTCGCAGTGCCATTGCAAAAGTAATTAAGTGCAATCCGTAAAAATCATAGTAGCAGAGGAGCAGTAGTAGCAGCAGCGGTCTGAGGCATGAGAGTGCGGGGTTCTGGGTGGAACCTTCAGAGACGGGTGAAGCATCAACACGAAACTGCTAAACATCAAAAAGAAATTGAACCCACCACACATCAAGAACATATTCACAAACATCAAAAAATATGAGCAAGCAGTCGAAGCACTAGTACTCCTCGAAAACATGTCGTACGTGGATTGCAATAGAAATCAGCGTAAAGTCCAGTTTGGGGTCAACAATTGCGGAATTGCAATTTGCAAGGTCCTGTGCGTCGGCATGAAACCCCATTCTATAGGTGTCGAACGCAGCTATAAGATCGATTACATATGGAACAATACCTGTTCTAGATACCAAAATACATTGTTTATGTATTGCACGCTGCGCACTGCACAGTACGTGTTACCTAGTACATCCATTGTGTTCTATGTTCGCCTCGGCCTCCGGCCGAAAGGGGTCTGGAACAAGCAGACCAAGAGTCCCTCCTCCTTCCCACCCTTCCACCAAAAAGTCCTGCCCCTCCTCCCCCCACCCGAACCTGTGCAGGAGGGTGCCCGGAACAGAATCTGAGGATGCAAAAACTGCCACAACTGTGCTGGACCAGCTCTTTTTTGGTTTCTTTCTGCGACTGGCATCACTTCCCCACTGTGGTTACGGTGTATGGGACCTTTCGGACCATTTTTGAACCCCTCACCCCCAACCCCCCCCCCCGCCCACCATCCCAAACACCCCCGCTCGAACCCTCTAACGTCTTACCCCCTACCAGTAGCCTGCACCAAGCCTCCTTCGTCTGCAAAGCGGCGCGCGTAAGCGTTTACATACGTATATATATATATGCATATATATATATATGACTAAAGTTTGTATGTACAAAAACCAGCAAACAAAGCCTGAAACGTTCCTGGGCACCACCTGAGTCCATTCATGCGACTTGTTTGTACTAGCACGCCTCAAGCCCTGCAGCCGTAACCCCAACTATCCGCACCAATGCAGGACTCTGCATTTCAATGCTGATTCCAGACATAGTCGCCACAACCGAGCCATCGTCGGCCACACAGGCAGTCAGGTTGACTTGCGTGGTCTTTCCCCATGTTGGTGTCCTTGGCTCGCAAACCGGTTGAGGGCTTAGTATTTTCAGGCCGGACCCGGTCTTGTGATTGCAAGCAAGGGGGATTACGGCCCGCAGGTGATCACAATGTGTTTTGGTTTTTGTGGGGGAGGGGGACGGGTGGGGTTGGGGGGTGGAGGGGTGGTTACGACCGTTGCTCTAACCATGCCCAAATGGTATTTACAGTGTTTATGCCGGGGCACACAAGATGCTGCAAAAGGATGCTTGACGTTTGTAGAAGCGCTGATGTTCAACGATTTTTCCTTTTTGCCTTTTACAAAGCATATTGCAGCAAATTGGTTGATGTTTCTGCCCAGACGCGCTGTCACACGTTTTCGGGTTTGCTTTGCAAACATGCCCAGGACACTGCTGCTTACAGGGTTGTTGCCCCTTTGTACAACCTAAACCTTCGCCATCTATCACGTTCATCTCCAGGAAAGGGTTTCGAGTTTTTGCTGTCAGCCTTAAACCCTGACCATGCGCGGAGCTTCTTGCAGTATTCAGGCTTGCACTATTGAGGAAAATTCAGGGCTTTTGAGCCAGTGCTGAGGCAAGCAACCCGAAATCCTAAAACCTTTCTTACCCATGGCCCCACTGGCTCCACACCCTAGTTGCC